AAGGTCCACGTGTTTGGCCCTTATTGGGTAGTCTTCCTGGTTTAATCGAGAATTGTGAGAGAATGCACGACTGGATCTCCGACAACCTCCGTGCTTGCTCCGGTACGTATCAGACATGCATCTGCGCGATTCCGTTTCTAGCTAAGAAACAAGGTCTCGTTACAGTAACTTGCGATCCAAGAAACCTCGAGCATATTCTCAAGAACCGGTTTGATAATTACCCTAAAGGTCCAACGTGGCAAGCCGTTTTCCATGATCTTTTAGGTCAAGGGATCTTTAACTCCGATGGTGACACGTGGCTTTTCCAGCGTAAAACCGCCGCTTTGGAGTTCACTACTAGGACTCTCCGTCAAGCCATGGCTCGTTGGGTTAACCGAGCTATCAAGCTTAGGTTTTTGCCGATTCTTGAAACGGCTCGGCTCGAGTCTGAGCCGATTGATCTTCAAGATTTGCTTCTTCGGCTTACGTTTGATAATATATGCGGCTTGACGTTCGGGAAAGACCCGCGGACTTGTGCCCCGGGTCTTCCAGTGAACACGTTCGCGGTGGCTTTCGATCGAGCCACCGAGGCTTCGTTGCAACGGTTCATATTGCCGGAGATTTTGTGGAAGTTCAAGAAACGGTTCTCTCTCGGCTTGGAGTTCAGCTTGAGCCGAAGCTTAGTCCAAGTAGACAATTACTTGTCTGAGATTATTAAAACACGTAAGCAAGATTTGATGACTCAGCATAACAACGATGGGACCCACCACGACGATCTTTTATCACGGTTCATCAAAAAGAAGGAATCTTACTCCGACGAGATCCTCCAACGCGTGGCACTCAATTTCATCTTAGCCGGTCGTGACACGTCATCAGTCGCGTTAAGCTGGTTTTTCTGGTTGATTACACAACACCCTACCGTAGAGGATAAAATCCTCCGCGAGATCTGCACCGTTCTTATCGAGACACGTGGCGATGACATTGCAACGTGGACGGACGAGCCGCTTTCCTGCGAGGAGCTTGACCGGTTGGTTTATCTCAAGGCTGCTTTATCGGAGACTCTGAGATTATACCCATCGGTGCCGGAAGATTCTAAACGCGCCGTGAAAGACGATGTTTTACCGGACGGAACTTTTGTACCGGCGGGATCATCGGTTACGTACTCGATTTACTCGGCGGGGAGAATGAGATCGACTTGGGGAGATGATTGTTTGGAGTTTAAACCGGAGAGATGGATCTCGGAATCGGACGGTGGTATTAGATTCATCAATCACGATCCGTTCAAATTCGTTGCGTTTAATGCTGGCCCTAGGATCTGTTTGGGTAAAGATCTGGCTTATCTTCAAATGAAATCGATATCGGCGGCGGTTTTGCTTCGGCATAGTTTGACGGTGGTGACGGGTCATAAGGTTGAACAGAAGATGTCGTTAACTCTGTTTATGAAATACGGTCTTTTGGTTAACGTTCATAAACGGGATTTAACGGCGATCGCGGCGGATGTACGTGAGAAGAGTGATGGGAAAGTTAACGGCGTTATAAGGTAGGTAAGGGTTAGGTTAAAACCAATCGCGTCTACCATTTAATGACGGAATTGAGAGTGACACTCGCTTTTTTGGCGCGTGTTAGATACGCGGTTCTCCGGCTAAAGACAGCTAGACTCCAGTTGTCGTTGATTGATTGGCTGCGTAATCCAATAGAGGTAATTTTGTAAAGTGCG